TCCACCCTCAGTGGCTCTGGGATTCAGTGCTAACAGACATGTGTAGTCAGCCAAGAGGAGCTGCTCCCTCTTTGCTTGGCCAGCTGAGCTGTGTGTTTTCCCTCTGCAGAGTTCATTCAGTTAGCAAAGAACTTCGAGGAGTGTCGGTGCAAATGGCAGAGAGCAGAGCAGGAGCTGGGCAGGTACAAGGACCTGCTGATGAAGGCCGAGGCCGAGCGCGGTGCCCTGGACGTGAAGCTCAAACACGCTCGGAACCAGGTGGACGTGGAGATCAAACGCAGGCAGAAAGCTGAAATGGACTGTGAGAAGCTGGTGAGTAATTCCTGTCAGCCCTTCAGAGTGTGGAGACAAGGTGATTAAACGGCATTGATCAGTGGAAAAGAAGGACTGGCAGTCATGGGGAAGGGAAAAATCAGCAAGGAATTGGTTTGGCTCCTCAGAGCAGCTTTGATCTGGGAACGCTGACTGGCTGCTGCTGGAGCAGTACCTGTCCCACCATCAGCAGGCTATTGACACCAGCTCTCCCTGGTATCTCACACACTTCAGATCAACTCTTCCAGTAATTAAGCACAGTGTATCCAGCTGCTGCTGTTCCCTGTGCTTGCAGGAGAGGCAAATCCAGCTGATCCGGGAGCTGCTCATGTGCGACGCGTCCGGCAGCATCCAGCTGAGCGAGGAGCAGAAGTCAGCCCTGGCCTTCCTCAACAGGCCACAGGTTTCTCTGGGGGGTTCAGGCAACAAAAGGTAAGAAAGGAGTGTTTTGTCTGAAGGGTGAGGTACCAGTGCAGCTGTCTGCCTCTGCCACACATCCCTTTCCTTCCAGCTTGGAATCCAGCTCCTCTGAGTCAGTGAGGTTGTTCTGGAGCCATGGCTGACTGAAAGCCTAACTGATGCGAGTTTCTTCTGATTTTTGGTCTTTAGGCTGTCTACAATAGACGAATCTGGCTCAATTCTGTCAGACATCAGCTTTGACAAGAGTGATGAGTCACTGGTAACGTAACTCCAGTCCTGAGTTTTCCTCCCCTGCAAGGCCTGAGGGGAGGGGGTTAATCTCCAGAGCCCCTTTGTGTTCAGACTGTGGGGCATTAACTGCTCTGATTTGCATTGCTCTGCTGTGGGCTAAGACTTGCTGAAAGCCTTGGCCAGGGGCTGTGTGCTGTTTACCTCTAACCAGTGCTGTGTATTTCCCCCAGGACTGGGATTCCTCCCTGGTGAAAGCTGTGAGGCTGAAGAGGAGACAGAAGCGAGTAGGTTCCATTGTTCCCCTTCAATTGTTCTCCCTGGCAGCCACAATGTCACCATCTGTCACCTCGGAGCCACCTGTAGTGAGGACTGAGCCACTAATCACAGTCAGAGCTGGAAGGGATGTGTAACTCAGAGCTCTCTGGGGGTTTAGACTGAAAGTTAATTCTGATGTCATCGTTTGTCTACTGCAAATGAGTGGAGCTCCACTTACCCTGTGCTGTTATGGCCTTGGCTTTGCAGGAAAGCACAGGGAGGTTATTAGCAGCTGCCAGATTAGGGGAAAATGGTGTAGGAAGTTAATATTTTTCTTTTCTGTAGAGAAGCTTGTGCTTGCTCTGCTTCAATCTGCAGTGGGCAGGTGGGAAAGAGCCTGAAACCATCCCTAGGAGAGCCTGACACTTGCTTAGCTTCCCTTCCCTGTGTGTGTAGTCTGTGTTGGGATTTTTCCTACTCCTATAAAGATCGCTAGGAAAATGACTTGAAAGAGCAGCATATTGAGGCCTCCTGATTCTTCATGGCAACATGAAGATTGCCCTGAAGAACAGGTCCCATGAGTGCACCTGTGGTGTGTGCAGACAAGTGCTCAGCCCCAGTTCTCCTGGCCCAGTACAACCCAAGTTAACAGCAGTCCTGCTTCATGCACTAGATGTTCTGTCTCTTTGCAGCGTTCTTCCAGGCAGTTCAGTGAAGGTCCACCAGGTCCCCAGAAGAAATCCAGATCCATTAGCTCCACAGCAGACCAGGTACGGTGGTCCCAGTTGGCTCTGTGTGCACTTGGCCACGGTGCTGCCCTGTTCCCAGGCCAAGGAACCAGAAACTGCTGTGTCCCTAACGGTGTGTTTGTCACTTCAGGGCAATGAATCCATCGTAGCAAAGACAACTCTGATGGTTCCCAACGATGGTGGCCCAATTGAAGCCATTTCTACCATCCAGACTGTGCCTTACCCTCGCAGCAGCCGGAG